GTGGGAGAGAATCGGTCCTCTGTGTGTGTCGAGACACACATTTTAAGAAAACAAACTGTTATTCAAAGCTGCTGAAGAGTTCTGGCCTATATCTGCTGAGAGCGTGAAATCCAGACAGATGATGTTGATGGTATCTTGAAGCATGATTCTGCTCTTGTGTGAAATGTTTGTTTAGATGTGCTGCTATGGCCTTTACACTTCGGACGCATGTGCTGATTGCGAGAGAGGGAGGTATAAGAAAGTCTTTGGAAAAACACTGAAAGCTTCATGAGGATGTAGGATTAGTATGTGCTGGTTGTTGAATTTAACATCAGTGGGAGATACAGTATTATAAATCAATATATATACACTGGAAATGATAAGAATAATGAATACGGTTCCTAGTTCATATTGAAAAATGTTTAAATTTAAATACTGAGTAAATGTTTGACTTATTGCCCCTCCACACCAGAGGTACAATAATTATTCATCATTCTTTGATTTATGCATGTACTAATTAACTCTTACTGTTACAGTCAAGTCAATTTATTCGAAGAGCATGTTTAAAATGGGTGAGAAACAGAAATAAACAGCCAAGGAGGCAATAATAACACAGTGAATAAATACATTTTAAATGATAACATGATAACATGGTAACATGAGAGATCATAGAGTTGATCCAGAGTCAAAATCCAGAATTGTTTGTGGCTGCAGCATGATTCAGAGCGACAGAACAAAACACAGTCATGCTAATATGACACCTGATTAAAGCATATAAAAAGATGAAGATGTCAAATCCAGATTTATTTGTACTCATGCACTAGTTGAGATACTGTTTGATTTTGATAATATCAAAAGCACTGATTTGTGGTGACTGTTTGTCCTCATAATAAGACCACAATGTAAACCTCGATTGTCTGTTGCAAAAACATTTCTATTTGTATCTCGTCCTCTGGGAAACCTGGAGGCAAATGTGCAGCAGAACCGACAGCAGTAGCACATGATTGTTGCATATTCTTATAAACAAGTAACAATAACGAGATGGCATTAAATGGTAAAACATAGTGTTACAGTTGTACAACGAGACAAGTCACAAAACAGTAAACTGACTCAACAAGGTCAGATACTGTACACAGCAATATCACAAAGCTACAGTAATCCACTGGTTATACAACAATGTGTCATGCTTTAAATTGAATTGTGTACAGGTTTGTTTTAATACTCCTAAATATAATTCAGAAAATGTTTTAATTCCTATATTTTTTTAAAACAAACCTTCTGTGGCAGCCATTAAAATCTTTCACCACGTCCACAATCTGTCACTTCTGGAGGAGTAAATCCATGAATACTTTTAAACCTTAAAGCTCAATCTTCCAATCACATTCCGATCTCTCCTTCCCTCCTGCTTTTCCCCCCTCTCTCTGTCCCATCTACTGTCCTGTAAGGTTAACAAAAGTTTCAGTAAGCAGTCTAAAGTCACTTTTCGTGAGCAATCAGGCTTGGGCCGAGCATAAATCCTTGGGGCATAGTCGCAGCATTACAAATACCCACAGTGCCTGTATGTGCTGATGACTACAAAATTGAAAAAGAAAGGCCCTAATAATTCTGAGGCAAGTTTCCCTCAGCTGTAGGTATTGATTATTTGTGTGTGGTGAGAGATTTGGAAAATTCAATTAAAGGAGTTGTGCAAAGGATTCATAAATTCAGCCCCTCAACGCGTATCGAGACATGGTTATGTTCTAAATCAATGCTGCACTTCACAATATATTTTCTTAGGAACATAAAAATAAATAACATTTAAACAGTTCTGCTTACTACAGAAACAAATTTTATTTTCTGTGAAGCTTTTTAGTAACGGCCAAGTACTGACTTGTGCACATCTTCGAGGTGGTTACGTGTTTTTATTGCTCTTTTTCTCATAAGAAAAATCCTATATAATATGAATTTTGAAATGACAAAATGAGGGGAAAGGGGACGGCTCAGCAGTGTAAAAATTGATCAGACCATAGATGGGACCACGTTGGGGAAGATTTGTATGTCAGCAGTAATGGGCTGTATTAAAAAGAAGATTCCTTAAGATGTCATAAAAGTGATGGGGCTGCGTCGCGCTGGTTGCGGGCCGCCGACCCAGGCAGCTCCCGGACTCTGGCACATCAATCCTCGGACGCCTCACAGACAGATGCCACCTACCCACTGGGAGTTTTATGCTTTCTGATTGACCACACAGTTGCAATTAAACAGGGGAGTTGTATATTAGGCTGTTTTGGTCCAACAGAAGCAGGTGGTCTTCGATCGACTCCGTGGGTTGCAGAGTATGCAGTCTTTTCAGGCATGAATTCTGATTTACCGAACGTCATTGCGTTTCAACTTGGGGGTGCAAAAAACTATACAGCAAATGATAAGTAGTTGGTCAAAACAAATTATATTTATAATACATTATTATTATTTTCATGCCATTTAGATTTTTTTTTTTTTCAATAAACACATTTACATCTCTTTAACAACTCTACTTTGGGTTTTTATCATTTTTCTCTCTAGATCCTGTGACGATGGGCAGCTCCTACCAGTTTCTCAAGTCCATTATGGGTTGAATTAGTTACAAATAAAGTTTGGAAATCAATTGCCGTACATGTTGGTTTATAAAAAATATGCATCATGTTTACTCTCCACTTGAGGAAATTCAGTCTTGACAGTGACTGCCGTGTGCGTAATATCACCGGGTGCCAGTGGGGTTACAATCATGTTTTCCCTCTCCCATATTCCCCAGGTTTTTGTTAGCAAGGCATCTTGGCTGTTGACAGCTAATAGAATTGCTCTTCACTTCTTGTGCGTATGATCCCACGGAGATAAGGCAGGAGATGAATGTGGAATCTGTGCTGTCAGTTGTGAGGCTGAGTTGTGTTGGAGGCCGTCACTCATTTGCGGGAGAAGTGTCTGAAACGGTAGGAGCGAATCCTCTGACATGTTAGACCCCGTCTACCCTCCAGAGCCTCTGCCTGGCAGCTGACAAATGTTGATTCTACATTAACCACAATGCTGCAACGCTGTGCAAATAATGTTCTTTCAGATGGCAACCCTCATCCCCTTTATGGCTAAAACTATGCAACGTTCCCCACCCGTGCAGTTTAACACCTTTGGAAAGTAAAGGTGGGGGTGAAAACTGTCTTGCACAACACAGTAGTCTCTTTATTTGGCAGCGCCTGGGAAGGCTGAGGCCTCTCGCTGCCCAAGTCGACCTAAGCAACAGCTGGTGTTCACAGCAACATTTCCTATTTCTGCCTAAGGTGGATCGTGTAACTCTCACTTTATCACCCTTAGAGGCCACGTGAAGGACAAAGCCAGTACACCCATAAACAAAACTAATGTTTTGATACAAGCCCCTGAGGAGGTTGAATGAAGGACCCATGGTGTGTTTGAGACCCCGTTCCCACTCCCATTATGACACATCTTAACACATCTTAACCTGTACCAATGGTTTTTCAAAACTGAAGATTGGGATCTATACGTGTTATCTCTTTTTATTTTAAGAGTTGTAATCTGTGGTCCCATTAGCACAGTGTTAGCTCTGAGGGTACATCATCTAGTCACTGTGCCTGCAGTCCAAGGTTTAGAGCCACAGTAAGCAGGGATGTGCATCCTGGATAACTAGTCAGAGGAAAGGAGGTCTTACTTTCACTGAGACTTGGCTTTCTTGTGTGTAATTATACAACCGTGTCATTGTAATTATATATAACATACGTTAAGCTTTAGTAAACACCAGAACCATAAGTTCAAGTGCTTAAAATCAAAGTAGTCAATCAGAATGAAAGTTAAAGATATGGCATTTACTCTATACATGTTGTCATTTGTGAAACTTAATCTGTCTAGTTTAGTAGTTTAGTCTTTTTCTTTTATTTCTTTTCTTTAATAAACACGTTTTATTAATTGTGAGAAACATGATTACGAGAACCAAGAGACCGAAATGTTGTCTTTAAAGTGTTGTCTTGTTTAACAAATACTTCAGAATCTAGAACTTGCACCTTTCAGGCATTTTGACTAATGAATAACTTGATGCTAAATCAGCTATTCAATTGATGTTGATAAACTTTCTGTGACAAAACACCACACGGTCCATTCATTGGCTGTTCTGCAGCTTTTTCTTGTATCACAGCAGATTGACTTTCCCAGTTGTCATGAAATCAAATGCTCTTTGAATCAGCTAATCATTGTGGCACTATTTTAATTTGAATTAAACAGACCATGCATTCTGTTTTCAAATGTAATTTCTTTTTAGATTCTGCTGTATTTGTTCACCTGCATTTCATGTATTACTTTCTCCATTTCAGAAGTGGGGAAATTATAATCTTCACTTGCGTCTTTGTACAGGAATTGGCATTGCATTAGCCAATATAAACACATGTTATAAAAAAATCGAACGAACGCCCCGCACACCAGCTCTAATGGGCCCCGTGTGTCCATGTCCCATTGTCGTACCAGTTAACTCAGATCTCTGGCTCCTATTTGTCCCTGTGGTCCATTAGTGCCGATTGGCCCCGAGCCTCAGATGCACAGGCAACCCTCACTGACCTGATAACATTTATAGTTGTAATGGATTTTTTTTATGCCGGTCATTAACTTTCTCAGAGATTGAAGAAAGAAATTGCTTTGTACCTTTTTTTTCTGTGGTATTTCAACTTTATAGCATTATGTTCAGATATGTCACCTTCCATCATCTCTTTTTAAGGCCTCACCCGTCACTACAAATGTACAGGTCTTTTGTACAGGACCCTTCTAGTACCCAGGACTTGTAATTAAAATTTAATGCTGTTGAGTAAAAGCGTTGAAAGATATAATTTCTCTCCAATTATTGGCTCTGTCTCAGGCAGACTGTTAGAAAGGTGATTTAGCAGATGACTTGGTTAATGTGGACAGTTTACTGTGTATGAGGATGCTTCAGATTAAATAATTTAACAATGTGGAAATAAAACTTGTGTTCACTTTAGATCGCTGAGAATTTTTTATTATTTTCACCAAAACTAACTTTGCACAAAATAACTTCACTGGTGGATAAAAAAGTAGAAAATTATATATATATAAAAAAAGTTCACATGAATAGATTACTAACAACCATAACTAGTAGAGCTGAGTCGAGCCCTATCACGTGTTTAATCACAATCCTCACAGAAGGTACAGAGGATGGACAAAATAACATGAACACCTCGCAATATCATTACATTTTATTACAGCAAATATGTACAGCACCTCTTTGAATAATAACCTAACACTATAGGGGGTGTTCCTATTATTGTGACCACCTTCTGTAGCTTGACCAACACTGATGTTGTGTTGTCCCCTCTTTGTTAGTTACTTGGAAGGATGCAGTATGGATCAGGAAAAAAAACTGTACATTCTGGGGTGAATCCAGGATTATTTTTTCACTTTCTTTCACAGAAAATAATAAATGGATCGTGATGGAAAAAAGTAATTGTTAGGGGACTGATGTTTGGAGGAATTTAGTAAATGTCCAAATAAAAATCTGGATCAAGTGAATTTAAATGTGGTTTTATAAGGAGACTGACCTTGGCGGAGGTATGCGCTCTACTGAGTGCTGTTGTAGTTCGTTTTGCTATTTCACAAAATTATTTGGTCCAAAAAATCTTTACCCACTCCTTTCATTCAATATCACAGCACCTCTGAACTGGCATTTTGTTTTGCAGTACATTGACAAGCCAACATCACTGAGGATGTATGATACGAGTCTGGCGAACAAGATGCCTTAACAAGAACTTTGTCCCATTTGTATTTAGTTCATGACGGCACGAGTGAAATGCACCTTTAGAGGAAATAGAACCCAGAATGTAACACCAGTTCAAAACCTTGAGGTATGGCATCACTCAGTTGATCTTCTTCTGGCTCTTTCTGGAGGGTGGTCCACTGAACTGCACAATGTTGAAATATAGAAATGTCCCCAAAAAGTGCAGGAAAGCCGTAGTAGACACCAACACAGGAAACAAGTCCGGTAGATGTGGCGGTGCGGTCACAGCTACGCTTGCAACGCTTAAACCAACCATGGCTGCGACACAGATGTAGAACTGTAACACAAAGAGAGTGTGTGAGGTTATATGATCCAAATAAGAGGAGTTTGCTCAGCTGTCATCTTGTGACCTCAGTATTTCAGTCACATCATAGCATGTGCTCATAAGTTTGGACACCCATAGGCAAAGAACATGTTTTGTTGATTTTTGAAGTGAACAGAAGTAAATACAGCGCCTACAGCAAACACTTATTAAAAATGACCTTTTTCAAATGTTAATGGGATGGTCCATTTTATTTCAAGGAACTTAAAAAAAACAGCAATTGTGGCAAGGGCATTGAGTTTAGGCACCACTCTACTTGTAAAATACTTACTTCCTATAATACTTCATTAAGTCGTTAAGTTGATGACATTTCCAGTGCTGATGAATTCTCTGACTCTTCAGACCTCATAGTAACACTCAACAAACACAGGCTCCTCGAAGCAACTGACTGAGAATCTGAAAATGAAGTTAACTGAGGACTATGCAGCAGCACTTGATGGACAGATCACCATGTCAATTTAAGTTAGTCAGTTAAACATGGTGGTGAAAATATTAGAGGAAAGAATGGATCCAATTAAATATCAGCAAAATGTCTAGCCTCTACTACAGGAAATACAACCATGACACAAGCTTTAGGAAAGTTGTTCAGACCCTTGACTGGAAAATCATTGAAAATCTGTCACAGTATCTAAAGGTAAATAATAACCTTTTTTGGTCAGTAAAATTATATTCAGTGTATGTTTGTTTTTGTTCAAGTTACAATAAGAGACTCAAGTCAATGCCATCCAATCATTCTGCTTAAAACAAGCGGAGTGCCCCTGTAGAGTATGAATAACAAGCTGCTACCATCCCTAAGAACACCGCTTTCAACTAAAGAGACCAATCACAGACGTTTATGTCTAACTCTTCGCCAAAGTAATTTTAATCACTGAATTTATATTCTGAATCAGGAACTTCTGCTAGTGAAACAATGAAATGACTGGGTACCTCAGGCTATGAACAAACTGTTAGCGTTTCCCTTAATTTTAATTGCAACCATTTGAAACCGATGAATGATTTAATTTAAAAGAGCTCTCAGACGACATAGAATATTTATTCTTGAATGACGGACATCAAATTGGTCATTTGAGAAGTGCTATAAAGAAAAGACTGAGGCTTGAAATATATTCAAAGGACAGGCAGTCGGAATTTTTGGCCCAATAAAACCACCTTTTTTAGAGTTAGACACAGTGATAGTGTCTATTTGGGCAAAATGACGCAGAGATTGGTCGGTGGCAAAGATGGAGGAACCACCTCAACCCCACCCCCGCCTTCGACACCCCAAACTCATGAAACCCTATCGTCATCATCGGGGCTCGCTATTTATGCTGCTTGTGTAAATAAATATATCTAGGCAAACGTGTGTTAATGATGCATGCTATAAAAAGACACCTTCTCTTAATCTCTGACACCCTATCGGTGCCCCTGTCACTAAGGGGCTGCTGGTGCACCCAATTCAGATGCTGTGGAAACTTAAATAAGTGATAAATAATTCTTTGCCTGGCAGCGGCTTTCATCCCTGGACAGCTTACACAGCTTACAGCGGCACATGATCTTTATTTATACAGTTGCGTATATCTTCTCACACAGTTGCAATTTAGGTCTAATGCCACTTTCAAAGTAGAGGCCACCTGGGATCCTGAAATCACCACGGGAATTATTACAAACCCATCAGCTGTACATCCTCCTCATCCTCGCCCATTATACAAGAGCAGATATGAAGTATTGAACTTATCAAGCAGCAGGAACTCTTTGCTCATTGTTATTAATCGAACATGTGTCTTATCTGAGTCTACAACATGAAAACATGTCGCAGTGCAATTCCTGCCTGTGTTCAAGGTTTTGAATAACTTTGCATTACCTTTGCTAACAAATGACCTCATCCAGGGGGGTTATGTTTTCATTGGTGTTTGTTTGATTATTAGCAAGATTACACAAAAACTACTGAACTGATTTCCATGGTATGACCTAAGGAAGAACTCATTACATTTTTAACATATTGAACCATGTTCTTCCCATTTCTTTAACATTTAAATAATATATATAAAATAAATCTGACATATTTATGAGGGTGTGTAATTTGGTGCAAATCCAAACGAATATCTGGATCAAGTTAATTTAAATGGTTTCATAACAGGACTGCTGGGCCTTGTCTGAGGTATATACTCTACTGAGTGCTATTGTACTTGCAACAGCAGCCTCCATCTTTTGAAGATGTAACTGACATTAAACCATAGTCTTTGCCTCCTTTGTCGACAATAATGGTCATGTGTCCTTTTTGACATTCAGCAGGGCTAGGGACACCCTAGTCCTAAGTCAGTTCAGCAACATGAGACTCTAAGTGCAGAAGAATATCTTAGTCCATGTGTACTCAGCAAGAACAGCAGGTCAAAGCAATCTATAGATCATAAACAGGGCAAATTCCAAAACATTGGACAGTTAGATTTTGGTTTTTCTATAGATTATATTGAGCCATTCTTTCACCAACAATAAATAATTAGTTTTTTCTAGGGTAGAGCCTAAGTACATGTTTTAAAATGCCACTGAAAATGTTGTAAATATATAAACCAAACATCTGACATCTTGACTTACTTTACTACCAGACTGAGCTTGGTAGTACCTCAACATAGATGAGACATGCAGATGACAGAATCAGTGCTGGCTGTTGGTCACTGTACCAGCGATTACATACTGACCTTCCATCTCATTAAAAAGGCCAAGTCCATTTTGGGTAGGAAGAAAAACAGCTTATGATAGGCGCCCAGTCTCAGCTCTTCCTCTGAACAGCGCTTCAGGGCAGACAATAGATAGATGCTGTAGAAGAGGAAGCCCAGCGAGGTCACAACGTAGGGCACCAGCAGACCGTCCTTAAGAAACAGCGGCAGCATGCTGCATACAGGGACAAGGACAATAGTGCAGACAACAGAAAAGTGTTGAGGACACCTATTGACAGAAATAATTTATATTCCACAGTTGATTGACAACACAAAAATATTTTCATTTACGTCTGACAACACATTGTTAAGTTCAGTATCATGTTTGTTGAAAGATGGGCAACATTACACCACACAGCTTTTATCCAACAGGCCTGCACAAGCTTTATGTTCCCTGGAGGGCGATGGCTCGGACACTCATGCCAAGCTTATCTTAGTTTAGCAGAGGGGCATGGACAAGAACAACAGTTGACTCATAGTAAATCGCACACCACCCCACTTATAAAAACCAATAGACCACTCATTGTGATTTTTACTCCAACAATAAAGCTCCATTCAGAAGATAGCTGTGTAAAATTTGAGAAATACATACTTCTTCAACTTAAACAGACTGACTGCATTCTGTCCTCATAAAATTGCCATGGCAGAGCAGCCATTCAGCCAATTATGCTAACAGAAGATGTATTTCTTTTTTAAATGGCAGTGTCTGTAGAGGATGCAGATAATGTGTCCAAGTCAGACTGTACTGGGAAACAGCTACAGAATGACCTCCTGTCCCTACACAACACACACTTAGATGACAGGCATGTAGACTATGCCATGTAATCCCCAGATATCCTTATACTAAACCACACGCACAACAATTAGTGCTGCCGGAAGAATTTAACAACAGCTGGTGAAAGTTAGATGGAGCATTTGCAGCACTACTCGTCTTTGCCATTCATGGTCCTCAGCTCAACCCTCATCACAGATCCATTTAGCTTTTTAGGATTATTTCTAGGTATTTGATGGTTGTAGCAAGAGACAGTATAGACAAGAAGAGATTACACAAGAGTTGTATCTTAAACATTACTGGCCAGTTTTGATTGTCAAGATTTTGAGTGAATGATATTACACGGTACGTGGAGGGATGTGGTATGGGTCAGGGTAGAACCCAATAAATGTTGTTGCAGAACCATATCAAGGTTTTATTTGACATTTGACATTTTCTAAGAAGTCCCAGTGGATAATTAACGAACCTGACATATTTACAAGACTGATATCTATGAGTGGGTCCTCTCTAACTGCTCAAACTAAAAGTTAAGGTGGCAACAGAAAATATTGTTTTTTAATGATCATGGATCCCCAAAAAACATTTATCATTTCGCCCGGAAGGAGCCTATCTCTGCTAAGCCTATCGCCCTATACCACCATGTTAAATATAGCCTGTTTATCCGGATCTACTCCCAAATTTTGTGGGTATTACTTTGGGCGATGTCTCACCCTTCCACCAAAATGTATATAAATCGGTTCAGTAGTAAACATAATCAGCTGGTATCCATCTTTGATTCACCTACCATCCATACTAAGATACTAGTTCACAGTTTGATTGTGTTTGAGTGATCCTTCCTCCTCATAGACTTACCTGAATGTTGAGGCCTGTAGAAACCAAATAGCCACCAGGGGCAGGTCATTCAGCAGAAGGCAGACCGGCCTAGAAAATATCAAAACTGGATATTGTCACTGTTGAACACATTCTGCAGTAAGTATCATTAAATATAATTTTACAGTGAGACAGGAAGTGAGGCCACATTAGATTGAAGCTGGATATGGAATGTTGTCATGCGTGTATAATAATAAAGCTACTGACCTAATGGGACATCCACATGAATTGATTATTCTCAGCTTCTCACAAGGCAGTCAGCGTTTGTTGTTCCACATTATTTTATGTCGGGTCAGTGGCCTTATTACTGTAATTGCACTGTATGCATATTTGCTGCTGTATAACCCGAATCCATCTTTTACTTGAACCAAGTATTCAATGATAAAATCAAGATCTCCAGTTGTTCACTGTGATAAATGTATTATTAAATGCTGTGCGTCTGGTGTAGGACTGTTGCTGACTGAACTTGGTTTGTCTGTGTCGGTGCTCGGTGCACACTCTGCTCCGCAGCCGACACTTTCCACCGGTCCCTCAGACCATAATTACAGCCAGTGCTCTTTGGCGATCCTGTTACAGCCCAATAATTGATCCTGCGCAAACAATGCCTCGAGCTGCTGCCTGCCATTCTTTCCTAATCCCTGGACATGCATTACTGATTGATTCCAGGGGACAGGTGGGAGATATAACTCAATAGTTAATAAAGCAACAATCTACCCTAATCTAGATTAATAGATGAGCCCAGATCTAGGAACCCAATCCCTCGCTGCCAAATCTATCCCAGGCATCACCCTCCACCTATAGCCGCAACAGCTTTATACATATAGAGGTAAATGGTAATGAGCCGCACACGAGCACATCTTACACCCACGTGTGCAAGAAATGAATTTAGTGCAGTAGTGAGTGTGATGACAGAGGTGAAAAACCTTTCAGTTAGCAAGGCTGTACATTAATAGAGAGCAACTGTGGCAGTCTGGCATGTGAATGAAGTCACTTAAACAAAGTGCACATGTATTCAACTTAATATCAAACTGCAAAACATAGTTTAAGATTAACGAGGGAGACAAAGCTCCTGTCTGAGTAGAAATTAAATCTGCAGTCATGAATATTTGAGATATCCCTGATTTTATCCTATTAAAAAAAAGTTACAGTTTTCTTCTGCGTACTTACAAGGCAGCCAAGAGGATGGACTTCTCATGGACTTGATAGGAGAAGAGGAAAAATGCTAGAGATGAATTTGCCTAAAAAAAGACAATGAGATAATCAATATAACAGCTTCTACTGGGTTTAGGACAAGAATACTTTTCAATAAATCCAAAGAAAGACAGAAACATATAAACACAGGCATCACTAATTCAAATTATATCATATACCTATAAGGCTTTGTTCAAATAAATTTAATTAAATACATAAATATACTATTAACAGTCTTTCACATTAATTATCAGGACTGTGGCCCACAACAGTTCCAGTCTGCAGCACTATTTGCCTTGTGCTCGCTCGCTATTTCCCTTTGCATGCTCGTGTCATCGTCCATAAAGTTTTTTTCTGTTCATGGAGAGAATCAGACCTCATAGTTTTCAGCTGCAGATATGTTAGTTACATTAGAGGTGTAGGGGTAATCCAAAAACACTCACCAAGGCCAGTTTAAACTGCCAGAAGGTGGGCTTTGTCAGCAGTCTGATAGAAGAGGGCAGGGCTGCCAAGAGGGTGCAAGCAAAGCTGGAAAAAGAGTAAAGACACATACAGATCAGTCATATGATCTCACATCAGCACCGTCAACAACAGTCAAGCACACAAAATCCTGAATATCCTCCAGAGGAAGTGATTATGCAGCAGAAAATCCAGTGGAGCAAAAAAAGGGAGAAAAAAAAGAGTTGAGGAGCAGAAAATCAATTTGGATGAATATAATTAAATGTATTTGCACATAATCCCAGGCTTTCAAGCACATCCCTCTGTCGTGTTGACATGGATTCATGTGAAAAGTAATAATGATAATATAAGTCTATTTTTCCAGAATAATCAAACACTAACAAACCACAGAGTGAGATACATTTTTGTGTCAGTGGCTCTAAATGGTCTGATTTTGATGTTGGATGCAAACAATCAATGCGTCAAACCATCCTGCTCGTTTTCAGACACCGCCTGCTCTGCGGCTAAGACCCTGGCTATGTAGGAAATAAACTAAATACTGGGCCTGTGTTAGGGTAAGCAGGCATTAGTTTAACCCTTCAATTGTCACCTGCTGGGGGCCAGAGGCACCGGAAGACAATGACTATGTGTTAGTGTAAACGTGAATAAACGTGCTGATGGGCCCGGACAGTGAGTTAGCTCAAGGTGTTAGGGTTATGTGAACAGTGATGTAAAGAAATAGCCAAATCAATAGAAAGATAAAGAGTGGCAGTACAAATATTAAGACCACTCAGTTGGTATTTAGTGGGTATGAGAGTGTGTGTGTTATGTGTGGGGCAGGGTTTTGCAGTCCGGAAGGACATGGATCACTTTTCACAGCTGATTCTTTCTGTGTACACAGCACACCCACACTGGAGCATTTAACAACCCATTTGCCAGTGCCAAAAAGACAAGAGTGTTTTTCATTTGTTTGAAATGCACAACAGTCAAAGAAGTCCAACTTGATCCCTCGACTTAGCAGTCTGGCAGAAACGTGTCCATGCTTCGAACACAGGACTCCTAAATTTAGCGAGCCGGGTTATTTAAGCAGGCTCCACCATGACACAACTGCTGCGTTGACTATTTCCTCCACTGTGACGACGCAGGTCTTCATCTTTTGGTCAAAATAACACGTATCTTAAGAATGCCTGGAATTCACGGTGGGATAGCGGGCAGAGATACTGAACGTTAAATGACATGAGTTTACTACGTGTTCTCCCCAGTTAGCACCGTTTATTTGTCCCCCTCTTTCTCTCACCCACAATCCATCATAATATTTTTGAAAACTCCGCCTGTATCTGTGTATGACACATGCTTTAGTGGTTCCTTGGACAATTCAACCCCTTGTCACTACGTTTCCCGAAACAGTTGTGACTTTATATTCAGAAGTTCCTCACAAGATGTTTCCTTTAGGGATGATCTTATTTCCACTCTGCTGGATCACAGTCTTTATTCCCTTGGGCAAGCTTTGCCTTCCCAGGAAATGAAAGGAGTGAAAATGGGACACGAGAGGAAAAGGTTTAAAAAAAGAACAACAATGACAAAGAAATAAAAACAAAAGAAAGGAACGATGAAAGCTAGAAGAGGGAGAAAGTGATAGATACTCGACATAAAGGGATTACCTGAGGTAGAGCTGAGACTCTGTGGACAGAATGGATCTGATCTTTATCAAGGTGTTCAAGCTGCACCATGTGTTGGCCACCTTATCCTTTACACACACACACACACACACACACACACACACACACACACACACATTAAAGAGCTGAAAACACATCATTTTCCATGACTCAACAAATTATATTCTGAAAAGGGAAAGCAAATAAGTGGCATTGCTTTAAGTAATTTCCCCACTACGAGTATAAAAATAAAACAATAAAAATTCCTCTGGTCATGTGTGTCATAAATTCACTCCCTTGTCAGAAAAAGCATGGGACTTATTTGTAAACTTGGAGGCACAAGGTCAAGTGTCAAACTATAGTAGTTTCTGCATAACCAGCAGATATAGGCCAACCACAGAGCACTGCTAATAACTACACACTGTCAGAATGATGGATAATTCTCTATATAATCAAATTTATTCAGTTTTTGACTTCAAAAAATATATTCCACGAAAAAAAGGGCTGCATTACAATAAAAAAAAAAGATTGAAATTTCATAATTGATCTATAAACGCTTTGTTCATAAAATGTCAAAATAGTGAAAAACATTATTTGACACAGAGCACAAATTGATTCAATTTCAAAGAAAAGCAGAAAGTTCTAACTTTTGGGAAAATGATTGGAATTTTTCGCTTGATTTGAAATGACAATCAGTCAGTCTGTTATTAAAACCTAGATGAATGTTTTGTTGATTGACTCACAACTTTTCTCTCGTTTTAGACCGAGTTCATAAAATCACATCGTTACAGTTTGCGACTGATATAAAAGCTGTGAGATCAGATGAGGAAAGCCTTGCTGTTGCTATTCCGTGGATTTCAGTGCTTAAGCAGTTGTGCAGGAATCAGATGATATTGAAGCTGATATCCCACAACATAGAGACAGTGTGACTAGATCAGCTTTATGATGCCACTGCAGGTGGTTTCTCAGCGTGGCCCTGTCTAGAAAGCCTATTCCTGTCCTCCACTCTCTCCCCTCTGTGCTACAGCTGCTCGCGGCACAGCTGTGTGGATCTTAGTGGCAGCCTAGTCAGCAGCACTGGGTCATCCAGCGTTGTGTTGTCTCAGCCCCCTTCCCTCTCACTTTCCTCTTTGCCTCCTCGCTCCAAATAACTACCACGGGAATTTTCCTGGACACCGCCTGAAGGCAACACATGAGCGATGGGGGGGGTGTCCCCATTGGCAAATGTAAGTGCAGGGGGGGGGGGCGCGAGAGCAGTGCGGCTCCTTCACCTATGAGCTAGCATGGAATTTCACAGGGGGAAGCATTTGGTGCCATTTTTGTGAGCAGGCGGCAACGTGAGACGTCAGAATGCAGCTCAGTGGGTAAACTTACAACTGCTCCCTCCCAGAAGTCGCCAGGACCACCACTCATCAGCCCTCGTCCTCCCCCACCACCCCTTCTCACTTTTGTCCCCTTGTAAGCTTTTGCTTACGTGCACGATTTCACAATTAGTTCAGGACGACTCGCCCGGGCAGCCTCTCATGCTGCCGTCACAGGGGAGTATAGTGTCTCTCACACCCTGTGTATTATGTTTGCATCATTTCATTGAACAAATACTGCCGCAGGGCACGCCGCCATCCGCTCCCCCGGTAGAATTTTCAATTACTTCTCACATCTATGACACCTTGTGGTGGGTGCCACCTCAGGGACTAGGACAAGAGGGGTGTTAGAGGGTTTCAGAAATGAGAACTGCAAACCTTGGCATCTGAGCTGTCGTACCCACACAGTTACTTTACCTCTGCTTCTCCCATGACAGCTTTTAACGCTGCTGACTGGAAGCTCTTCAGGTCTGTCTCACTGTCGACTACCACCTTCCTTTTTAATTAATGTCAGATTCCTGTCCCTACTCATCCCTCTCAGGTTATCAGAGTGACGACAACGTACAAATGTGTGTGTGCGTATGTGTGTGTGTGTATGCATGTGTGCCTGCATGCAATAAAACAGTCCAAAATACTAATACACTTTCTAAAGACGCAGTCAGCAGCAGGCAACAGTTGTCGGATCTGCTCTGATATGCCTTCAAGTGTAGAGTTGGCCACACTCGTCGTTCCATATGGCTAAAACATGACTGACTACGAAGTGCTGAAAATACCCCGGCCATAAATTAGATAGATTTATCTATACCCTCCTCCTACTGTACATCCCGAACCCCAACTCCTCCCAGCCAGAGTGACATTGATCTCTTGACCTTTCACCATTTTATTCCACTGTTTTCTTTGATGCTGCGGGGTATCCATTTCCTGAGCGGCGCAGCAATGGAGGGTGATAATATATTTATATATGTGCGTACGAGAACTATCAAAATAGCATTTATATGGAATGACATTTATGCAAACAGCCACTCTCAGAAAAAAGTGTGTACTTAGATGAGTGCTTGTAGTTGTCTTGAGCATTTCCATTTAATTATACTACATACTACCACTCCAGTACATTTCAACAATAATTATTGTACTTTTTTACTTAACCACATTCATTAGAATGTGTTAGTTACTTCAGATATTCCAGTTCCTAATGCGAAATATAAAAATGAATAAATGGTAATGTATTATCATAAGTTAAGACTTGAGGAGATTCAAATTAGCCCCACCTTTACTAGCTGAAACATTAAAGTGGTCTGCACTTCATGCACCCTTATAATCCGAGATATAAAAAAATATTATTTTGAGAAGGGCCATTTTGCATATTGAGTACTTTTGGTACTTGAAACACATCTAGTTTTTACTTGTACTTTATCTTCACTTACAATAATTTAACAGATCTTAACATTGACAGATGAGTCAAATGCTGACTTTCTTGGACCATTTTTTTTATTCATTTAAGTTTCCCACTTGAAGCCACAAAACTGGAGAATGTTGCATCTTGAAAACCATACAAAAATCCATTTGGCATATCTGTTCAAAATGTCTCATTTCTTATTTTATGCCACTGATAATATCAGGATGATATTTGATTGTTGTTATTGGGTGCCATTCATTCATTAATATTTTGGAAATTTCCTGTGGATACATGTTCAAGAAGGGGTCGTCCTACTGCCCCTGCAACTCAAACCCATCTGCATCCCCTCAGGGGCAAGTAAAGCTTCAGTGGGAACAGGACATGTACATGTGACCTGTATAGCCCCTCTGATCTCCAGTCCATCCCAGTCTAACACTATTCATCCTTTTATATTCATGATCTGTCAGGAGATATTATCTTCTTCCACTTGATTCTTTAAATGGCATATTGGGATTTTGAGAAGAGAGCATCCATTCATCGATGCCCGCATGGCAAAAGTACAAATATTTCTAAAAAGACTTGGCCTCATTGGAAGATAGGGTTTCTTAGTTGTGGTTTTCAGGCTGAGTGTTGATTCAAGAAAGTCTACTGTACCTCAAACAGGCCGCGGGCCACGGGAAAGATCCTCCTAACCACCTGTAAGGCCTGGTCAGGGTCAGACAGGAAGGGCAGCCAGCAGAGGGCAAAACTCACCAACACGGTGACAGCAATTCTCACCAACAACATAAGCCTACATGAAAAAGGGTCACACAGAGACAAGTGCCACAATATTATGGTGTTTTTTCTCGCTTCAGTTTCCAAAAATAAACATGTTGACATTAGCATTTTGTTACATCTATTTCTGCAAGTATTCTTCAAACAATTAGTACACACTGTCTGCAAGTCCTAAATTTGGACTTTGACCCTTGTGTTAGGGAATGTAGTGAAAGCCATGCATCAGCTGAAAGTCTTTAGTGTAGTCAGGATATCTTGTCAGCTGTAACCGTCAAGCTGCTGGTTAAGTTGCACACACAGACATAGCTGAGGAGTTTGGGCATGGCGAGAGTGTCATCTGGACATATTCCTCCCCCCCGCTCCTGGCTCTTCTAATCCAGCTTTCCATTTGCTACTAAATGCCCTTGGTACATTGTTACTAGACAAACAGACACTGGACACACTAGTAACAACATCCAATGTGATTACCTCAGTCATTCTGCGGCATCTCCTGAGGACACCGCTCTCTAATAGACTGATATTACATATCTGCTTTCAGCGCGCAGTTGCCGACTCTACATGCAGCATGACAAAACAGAATTACCAATGACTGAACTGAATGTTCCTAATGCCTAATGCTATGTTCTTGGTATTAAGAATCTATAAGAACTATTTACAGGCCTTGGCTTTATTTAGACATGAGGGGAAATCATTCCTGATTGCAGGAATCAATACCACAAAATGTGACAACAGTCTTTTAAAAGACTGTGGAAAAACAAATTCACTGGTCGGGTTTTTCTTTTTCTGTGGTTTCAGACTTGGGTCATCTAGGAACTGTGGCTAAATATATTGTTACCTCCACCAAGGAGGTTATGTTTTCATTGACGTTTGTTTGAGTGAGTGTTAAGTCAGAAGCACTACACAAAAACTACCAAGCGGATTATCAGGAAACTTGGTGGAATGATTAAGTATGAGTCAGGGAAGAACCCATTAAAATGATTATGCAGATCCAGATCAGGAAGCAGATCCAGGGCTTTATTTCACTTTATTTAACATTGAGAGTGTTTTGACATTTTCACCAAGAGAATAATTTATGAACTTTGATTAAAAAAGATCTGGCATGCTTACTAGATAGATTTTAATGAGTGTATGCAATTTGGTGGAGCTTGATTGGATTTACTGTTGGACCTAGGTGAAGGTATATGCTCTACTGAGTTCTATTCTGGTTGAACATGTGACAATGTGGAGAAAGTAGGTGACTCACTGCTAATTTTCCAAAGACAAAGAGATAACATGAGAGAAGACAGACAATAGTGGCAAGACTCACCCTCTCCCCATCAGACCCAACTTGACACACTTTCCCAGCAGGTAGCAGAAGAAGGGCAGAGCGTGGTACAGCTCCATCTGTTTGTAGTTGAGAGCGAGAGAGAAGGCCATGGAGCCGAAGGCATCCCAGCCCAGACCAAGAGCCAGAACCCCCCACAAAGCAAGGCCTTGGCTCACTCCATTATACCTGATACCGTTAAGGTCAATACTGGAATATAAGTGTAAACACTTGTACCTGCACATAGAAAAAAATAAAGCTGTTCCAGGGTCAGTTCAGTTCAGTCCAGATGAGTTGAAGTACTTCATTGTTGTATTTCTTAAATGTCAGAATAACAAGGGCTAAAAACACTGATACGAAGAACCATCAATTTCATGGCTTATGTCACTATCCATTTTTTATTGCTCTATTTGTTCTGGAGGATCTATCATTTGATGGAGTGAGACGTAGTTGGCGATTGTTTCTTTTCATTTAATCTCGAGTTAATGATCATTTCCATGAAGAACAAAGGCAACAACCATCTTAAATAACGTTGCTGCTGGGTTTAGTGTCAAAATAACGGAATGCTGTGTTACACATCTGAGTAAAATATCAAAAATGCAGTTCTTTAGATGTAAAAAATATTTTAAATTCTTACATCACAATAGTAGCATTTTACAATAAAGATATTATAAATAAAAGAAATAAATATTTAAACGTTAGCTTAAAACCTCCTCAGCCTGGCTTTTGATTAAGTAATACATTACTTGCTTATGTTATTGCATATATTTTGAATTATTTTGTCTGTTATAATGTATTGTTACTATATTTTGAAACCCCTTTTATTTACTTTTTCCCTCTATTAATTTTATCTTTGTTTTGTAATAGCTTTTAGAATCAATTTTTTACGGTATTTCATTGTCATTTGTGACCTAGAACTGTGAATAAAGTTTGATTTATTTGACAGATTACAAATAGTAAAAATGCACATAAGGGATACTGAAAATGTCCATAGTCAATGAGAATCAGTCCTGGATAGAGCAAGAAGCAGAACAGAGTGGAGACCTGGTGACACAAAAAGAAAAGATTTACAAGTTGAAATGAATTACACTTCTCATTATTAGTCAATTTGGCTATGATCTATAGTTGCAGGGAGACAATCGGTTCAATAACTGAGCTGTTTTCTTATTTCGTTCAGTCAATCCTAGACAGTATAGTCAGACAGATAGTTGGGTACCAGGAGTCTGTCCTGCCATGCGGTCAACAAACAGCATGCTGGGATAATCTGTTCAAGTTCTGCATTTTTTGCTGACAAAGCTGGTGAGAGTCTCTTTCAACAAGTGATCTTGAAATAAGTGTTTGATAATGTTAAATACTGTCAAAACACTAGAGGTTTTCCATCTAAACTGATAATTCACTTAAAATGCAGTAACTTAATGTAATAACATCCTATTATCATATTATATGATAATCATATTATATTGTAGCATATATTATATGTGATGACTTCATAATTCTCAGATTTAGTGCTGTAGTTAGCTTTAATACGGGTGGTTTCCCAGACTAAGAGGAAAATGTGGTTCATTACTATTAGATAATAAAAAACACTACTATACACGAGCGTTACCTTGTTCTTAGAGGATCCATCAGTCAGATAGAAACAGTACAACACCACAGCAGGGATGTAGATCAACAAATCTGCCACCAGGACTGGAACCGGAAAACAATATTGTATATCATTTTCAAATGTAATGCATTTTGTACCATCACTGCACAAATCATTACAGTAAGTGAAGTCAAGAGAAGTAGTGTAAGTAAAACAATTATCGTTATTTAAGGCTGAGGTGGACATGAATTGTGATTCATGTACCTGTAGCTCTCATGAATAATTTGTGCGCTGGACTTTCATAACCTCTGGATTTGTGGAGCTCCACCCATTCAGGGTTTATCATCTTGGCTCTGCAGGAAAAAACAGATGATTTAAATTTTGATTTTTCATTTTTAAACTGTTGTGGGTTCATTAAATGTCTGAAGGACATCTTAAAACACAGATGTGGTATACTGCAACTGAAATACATATGCCCTCTATGCAGAATAGATTTCATAGTAAATATACATAAAATACCAAAGATGCTACACTCACACTGACTATGATAACTTTGATCTGTATTCATTTCCAGTGAAGCTCTGTACTCTAACACAATCTACTTACATGTAAGCACAGATCCAGCTGTGATAGGCAGTAAGAGGAGGATAGTCAAGACCCCAGTAGTTCAGGTCATTGTCAGTGGTGTTGAAGTACCTGTAAGAGAACAAATGCTTTATATTTTTAATCTGAAACATTGGATGCTACATTGAAAATATTTCACATTAAATATTATTTTCATTATGGATATTATTGATATTTTTGATAGATCCATTGTTTTTGGGGTTTTTTCCATCAGAAAATGATGAGACATTTGTTTGTCCCAACGATTGTTGAAACATCAACATTCCAAAAGAAAAATAATAATAATAATCACAATATCATCACATAATAATAATTGATTCCCCGCTAATTAAATTGTAGACTTAATGATTTAAAATATACTTCCTGTGTAGCTTAATTACAAAGCACCTCATATGTTTTCATGCAACAATCATATGTGTAAAGTAAGTAGTGAGTGAGTAACCCTTAAAACCCAACTGAACTCATCCTCTCTACGTGAGCGAGCCTGTGCTTCCTGAACCTTCTCCTCAGAGTTCACACTGACCATTCCTGCACTGGGAGGTTGTGGGTCACTTCCTGCCAGTGCCTTTGAGCCTCGTAGTCTCCAAACATGGGAGGTTTCCCCGCCCCTGCAGAGAGAGAGAGAGAGAGAGATTACACATGTGAATAAAACCCAAAACAACAACAACAGAGCCAGACACAGTGCTACATGCTAACTGTAGCACCCTGCTGGGAGTGCAACAACTTTAAACCCAATGGAGCTACACTGACACAAACACCAGTGCAGCTGAGTGCAGTTGTGATTCTCTCATGCTGACGTGAGACAACACTGACTTCCTACCTGAATACGGGTTTAACGAAACTCCCCATCTCACCACAACACCGAGCAGGACACAGATGGACACGAGGCTCCACGTCTGCATAACTCTGACGAGTGAAAATCACTTTTTCGATGAGAAAAGAACCGATAAACACAAACTCATCTCCACGTTGAGTCAGTTCACATTTCCGGTATACGTCATCCACCAAGGCTTCGTTTCACGCTCTCATTGGACACTGGACGCTGACGTAGGCACTGACACTTAAGAGGCGTTTGCGAGCGTTTGGAAAAATTGATATTTCCTCTCGGTCCAGCAGGCGCTTCATTAAGGAAGCGTCTCCAAACGTGTTTTGGTGAAGCTGTGGGAGATATAACTAGATATAACTCCTGTAAAAAAAATTAGTTATTCTGCCGGAGGTCTTCGTGAATGTTTATATATATATAGCTACAACTCGGATCTGGAAATTCTAAATTTCCTCGGTACATTGAATGCAGCATTTGTGGTAATGAGTTATGGTAAATTGATGGATATCATGCATCAAAGATACATTTCATCTGTGTTATCACATTTCATTGTTAAATGAACAAGCTGTTCACTCAGTAACAACATAACCATTGCTGATAATATCATTACAGAATTCACTAACAGCACAATACAGACACAAACTCAATGAATCAATTGCAGGATTATTTTCTTTCTTTTGTTCGTGCCTGCTGGAAGATATCTCTTGTTTCATGTACCCTAAGTTATAGTATTGTATCATGAAGTTGGCCTATGTTTGCGTAATGTGCCTTGAGATAATGTATGCTATGATTTGGCGCTTTAAACTGAACTGAACTGAAATGTCCATCAATCAAAGCTTAACAATAATAAAAACTCATCTTTGATTCCAGTACACAGGTTCCTTTTGAAACACCTACAAGTGAAAAACAAGTTAGAGAATGTTAATATGTGTATGAATGAAACATGTTTGAAAACACAAAGAGGATTATTTTCCAATGACTGCCAGCATAACACAATATTTTGTGGGTTCCAAAACTTGTGTTCTTCTGGAAATGAGTGGTTCCTAATATGGCACATTAAGTATAACCTATGCTATATTTTATCAAATAATATATTTTCAATTTATGGAAACATATGAGGATCTCACGGCAGCAAGTGCAACTACATGTGTCATCCATTTTGCAGCAGCTAACCATGGTGGAGCAAACAGCCCCTGTAGAGACTCAGTTGTGTAACTAGTTTGTTGTAACCTTCTGTATGTGTGGTTATAACAGCTTCGCCCTCCCCTCACATTGTAAATCTGAGCCCAGGGGCATTTTCTCCTCTGTGACCTTTTCGTCTGTTGACACCATCGTCATTGTTCCCAAGGTGTTGGGATTTGTTGGGTGAGACGTGTTCCTTGTGGTTCCGGCATCAATTATGCATAAATAATAATAACCTCGGACAACTGCTGATTTGCAATGACACTTTCATTACAACGGCAGTAGCCTATAACTCACTGGTACCCATTAGTTATTAATGCCCGGCCACACCAGCTTTACTTTGTCATTTATTGCTTCATCTCTATGCCTTTTTAAATATTCAGTAACTGCTGTACCTACATTTACAGTCTGTGATCTCCGCCCAGGAGAAGGCTATAGCTTGTGGTGGAGGATGACCTAGTTATTATGGAGGCCTGGGCCTTGCTTGCCAATGTCATAGTTGTCTATCATAGTTCCAGTCAAGTTTGCTACAACAAGTCCAAGTTGATCTTTTCTGCTATTCTATCACACATCTGACATTCAATATGAGGACCAGTAAAGACCAATAATCACAAGCTTCTCTTTTGAGTATGTTATTTATAAAACACATGTTCACATACCATGCACCACTCCTGCAGTATTCATTCTGTGCATTTATATTTATTTTAAGGCTGCGATGACTAATATTTACCATAAGTGCCATTTGTTTTTTTCGTCAAACCAGAATGTGGTTCTGATCCAGTATTTTTAGTGACACTTTACTGGCCCCATTGATTTAAAGGTCATAGGTCACACATGCATTCCTTCCCTCTGATAAAAATGTTGTCAACCAGACGTTTAAAACCCTGAATGCTTGGGACAAGATAAGTAGGAAAGGAGGCAAACACAACCATCTTTATGTGGTGTCCCATTAAATGTGGAGTTTTGATAACGTGAGATGAAATTATGAAGGAATTGATCTTCTGAGGGATCAAGAAAATACTGATATGTTATGATAGGACACATTGTGGGTAAATGACACAAAATTACGTAAATCGGCAAAGGAACAAGTCTCAGCTGCTCCGGACTCCATGACAAACCACACTGCAGATTGCTAATGGCTCATGCTAGCAGCATTAAATGAAGGTGTCAGTCATTGTTATTTCACTTTCTCAAACCAGCAATGACTCAAGTTTTGTGGCTAAATATCAGATCGTAAAAATTCCAGATTCAGGAGTAAACTCCTTTGCATCAATTGTAATCAATTGCATCCTATAATTTTTGTAGCTCTTTTATATTATTCTTTTCATAATTCTTTTTTTTTAATCTCCTGGATTTCCTGTCACCTGGTATATTTTCTCTGATAACCCAGCACTGCCACATAAAGTGGAACTTGTAAAAACGTGTGTTTTCAGCTTCAGCGTGGGCTATGTTAACCTGAAATATATTTGTCAAGATGTATTTAAAGGCAGGTACATAAAATATGATTTTTCTGTCAATAATAAATACTTACTATTGACCTGATGTGCAAAAATACAAAAAATTCAGAATTAAACCTTGGATATGTGGTAGGTTTTCAAAGAGTCTATCCCTGGCACATTCATAGGTTTGTAAAACACCCTAAATAATTCCAGATTACAGAAACGTATTTTTTTTGCTACATCTTTTTGAAAAGCTGTCATAGACTCCCTCTCCAGACTAACACAGACTATGTGTGGTCGAGCTGTGTGAACCACTGCAGCCTTTTCTCCACCTGTGCACACGCACGTGCAGCTGCGTATAGGTCATTATTGAGTGGAGCGCGCGTGAGAGACTGCGGGGGCAAATTGACGTCATAATAACGTGAAAAGCTCGATATTGTATTTGAGTGAACGAATTATAATCTTGTTACTGAGACATTATGAGGAAATTATTCATATTATTTTCATTCTTATTATAAATACGTATTTATGTCACCAAAATAAATAAGGCCTGCTCATTTTTAAAAGGACGTTATGGCCTTTTTTTAACATTTAGAAATGTATTTTCTTAACCTGTTTTTATCAGTGTTGTACTTTCCCACCATCTGCCACTGAAATCTTAAATGAAAACCTCAATATCAGCAATTTCGATATATAGAAATAGAAGCATGTGTAAATCCCTACATACAAAGCTGCGCACATATTGTGAATACAGAAAGATGTGGAAGAAAACAGACAGCACCATCCCGGTCACACGTCTCCTGCTGCAAATGGAAATAAACGATGGCTAATCTTTCCAGTGTCATCATCTCCTTTAAATCTGCACTTACATGAACTATAAGGATCTATTCAGCCGAAATGTGGAATCGATATGAAAAGGACTGATTGATTTGATTGATATCATTGCTGATGGTCAGGATGTTTTTTTACTAAACATTTATTTCATTTTTGATTCTCTTAATGAAGAGAAAGAGGTGTCAGTGAACGCCCCCTAGCGGCTTGAGTCTCGTCTCCCCCTCCGAGGTTATAGTCGGACTGAAGTATCACCACACACACACACACCATCACAAACACACACACACCATCACACACACTTATCCAGTGAGACATGAATGAGAGTTTGTCTGATCTGTGGAGGCTGATCCTGGACCTGCAACATGCCTCACACACGTGATAAATATATCTAAGATAAAAACAACTTATATGATTGGTCTGTTTAGTTTATTTTTTTACAATGACTTCTGGAATTTATTTACTTGCTCCTCCGGATGCTGATTTGACAACATTTTAATTTCCCAAATATGTCCCCTGAAACTGACCTCTGGGTGTGTTTCATTCATTGCCACTTTAAACTGTCTT